CTGGAAAAACCATAGCCTTGACTAGACAGACCTTTGTCAGCAAAGTAATGTCTCTGCTTTTTAATATGCTGTCTAGGTTAGTCATAGCTTTTCTCCCAAGGAGCAAATGTCTTTTAATTTCATGGCCGCAGTCACCATCTGCAGTGATTTTGGACACCCCCTCCTCCCAAATAAAGTCTCTCACTGTTTCCATTGTTTCCCCATCTATTTGCTATGAAGTGATGGGACTGGATGCCNCATCAAAAGGCTCTTTAGTTCTTCTTCACTTTCTGCCATAAGGGTGGTGTCATCTGCATATCTGAGGTTATTGATTTTTCTCCCAGCAATCTTGATTCCAGCTTGTGCTTCATCCAGCCCAGCATTTTGCATGGTAGTGGAAAGACATTTTTTCCAGCTTAACTAAGTGTCTTTGGCACAGTCCAGCCCAGTCCCCTGACTCCTCATTTTCAGTTGAATGCTCATCCCTCTGCCCTTCATCCATACTGGGCATTTCAGCTATTGACCTCCTGACTTTTTCCCAGAAGATTCCATAATTGCTTGTTTCTTCAATTAGTGTAGTGTCTTGCTCCAACACTTTACCCATAATCTGGTACACGGTAGGAGTTTCATACATGCTTATTGAAATAGAATGAACAGAGAGAGGGAAAATAAAGAAGGAGTTTTGGTGAAGGGAGTTTTCTCAATGAGTATACATCATAAGGGAAGTGCCAAGATGCTTTAGAAAGCAACTTAGATCAATAATAGAATCCAGCTCATTTCAGTCATGATAGAAAGCTAAAAATAGAGCTTAAGTAGAGCTATCCTATTTTTTTAACCTGATAAACATGTTTATAAAGAGAAACATGTCATGAAATCTATAGAAAGCAATGGTATTGGAAGTGACTCAGTTAGAAAGATTGCCCATAGAGTAGCATCAGCACTTGCCCAGAATTAAAGTTGATGTTCACACAGAGACCCAGAAATCTTGATGCTTACTCCTTGTTTAACTCTTTTCTCAGTATTCTGGCAAGGTTCGGTAGCTCTCAGCCTCTCTCCCTTCATCCTGACTCCCTTCTTGCTTTGGATGTCCTTTTGTTCTTTCCCCGAATTTTCTCCTTTTCAGGTAGTTTACTTCCTCATCCTGGAAGGAAACCAACCTGGTTTTAAATCTTGGCTCCATTTTTCATGCATGCCTTCTGTGCTTTGGATTTCTCTTCTCTAAAATTGAGAATAATATTTTCTTTTTTTTGTGTTTGTTTGAGAATAATATTTTCTACTGCAAAAGCTAACAGCCAACCCATTGTAGGTACCTGATAAATGTAAATTTCCCTCTGTTTCCTTCTTTCCAAGGTTAAGAAGAGAGATGAGGAGCCATCTGTTGTTGCTCCTAACGTGCTCCTTGGTATCTAACCTTTGCCACCCAACCCTCTACCCCTCAGTTCTTTCAACCACATGAAATACTCTTCTGGGAGAAACTCTGGTAAACACAAATTGCCCCCCACCACACACCTTGTTATTTTTAGGCTGACTGGCTTTCTAAGTCTGCTGACTCTCATGATTGTTTAGCCTTGAGTTTCCCCTTCCTTCTCTCATCTTCTCTTCTTCCATCCCTTCCCTTCATTTCCTCTTTTCTTGACTTCCTCTGTGTATTAGTTTTCTAGTGCTGTTCTAACAAACTACCGCATATTCAGTGACTTAAGACTGAATAATAAATAACACATTTATTATTTTATGGTTTTGAATTCAAATATCCAAAATCAATTTGACTGGTCTAAATTCAAGATGTTAGCAGATCTGTGTTCCTTTGGGATGCTCTGCTTGAGAATCCATTTCCTTATTGTCTTCAGATTTTAGAGGTTACCTGCATTCCTTAACTTGTGGCCCCTTCCTCCATTTTCAAAGCCAGCTGCATAGCCTCTTCTCTCTGACCTTTCCTGTTTTCCTCTCTGGCTTCGAGTCACTTGCTTCCTTGTTATTAGGACCCTTGTGATTACATTGGGTCCACCTGTATAATCCAGCATAATTGCCACATCTCAAGATCTTTACCTTAATCACATCTGAAAGTCCCCTTTACCATGTAAGGTAACATATTCACAAGTTCTGGGTATGAGGACACGGACATTTTAGGGGGTCCATTATTCAGCCTTTCACGCTCCATGTCTTCCCTTCTCCTTCTTCTCTTCCCTGCCCCTGTTTTCCTTTCTGGTGACCCTCTTATAGAAGCACATCTATACCTTTTGTATCACACATGGTCAAAATAAGTGACCATCATTTTGTCAAATGTGTTGCAAAGTACAGATGGCAAGAGAATAGTCATATTTACTCAATTAGATATTGAGGTAGAAAAACTGACTCTTCAAATACATAAATTGGTTGGAGGATCTGTTGTTCATTCATCTCTGGGAGTTTATGTTGGTGGTGATCAACCACACTGAGAACTGCACATCTTTGATGTTAACCTATTCTCTCTTTCCCCCCATCTAACTTTTCTTCAACTAATAATTTTTTTCACACTTTATCTTTCTTATTTCTTTCAGTGTTTGTAACTGTCCTGTTAGTCTCTTCACAGTTGGTATGGAGGAGAGAACTTAGATTAGAATTCCAAATAATTGTAAAGTAATTAATCTCCAATTAAACTAAAAATAAAGAACCTAATAAGTGACATTAGATCCTAGCCTGACATTCACTAGTTGTATGGCTTTGGACAAATCACTTAGCTCCTTTGAGAATGAATTTCTGTATGTGATTAAAGAAAAGCTTAAAAAGTCTTCTAAACGTGCTGTCAAAATTAAATAAGACAATAATTATTAAATAATTCGTACAATGCCTGAAAACTGTGGTGTTCCAAGGATGGAAGACTACTGTGAAACTTACTGAGAGGGTTGTTTCAAAGTTAAATGAAATGATGTAAACGTAATGAAGGAAAATGCTGCCAGTACTGCTGCTATTCCTATTGGTAATAATAGTAATAATTTACATGTGTTGAGTGAATTCTGTAGGCCAGGCATTGTGCTAGAAGATTTAAAGCGACCAATGCATTTTCTCAAGCTCAAGAGGTAGTATTTTTTTTTTCTTTTTTTTTTTATTTTCTTTTTTTTTCCCCATTTATTTTTATTAGTTGGAGGCCAACCACTTCACAGCATTGCAGTGGTTTTTGTCATACATTGAATTAGCCATGGATTTACATGTATTCCCCATCCCGGTCCCCCCTCCCACCTCTCTCTCCACCCCATCCCTCTGGGTCCTCCCAGTGCACCAGGCCTGAGCACTTGTCTCATGCATCCAACCTGGGCTGGTGATCTGTTTCACCCTAGATATACATGTTTCGATGCTGTTCTCTCAAGAGGTAGTATTAAAAAATTATGTTTATTTTCTGACAACTCTTTAATTTCATACTATTTTGAGGCCCAGAGTAAGTCCTCAGGTAACATAAGTGCTATAATGTAATAAGATGCCTCAAATGTAGTATTAAACCCTAAGCGTTTTACATAATCTGGAAAATCAGCAATTAAACTCATTGGGCAGGGTCTCTTATAAGAGGTTTTATAACAGATTGTCCACAAGAGGAGCATCTGAATAGACTGAGTGGGAGAGAATTGTATCAATCTGGTAGAATAGCAATGTGAGGTCACCACCAGGCCCTGGAGGGAAACGATGAAGGGATCACCAACACAAGTAGGAAGGAAGTCCTGGCATCCTTTCTAGGCAGAGTGTGGTTTCCAAAATTCCCATGTAACGATCTCTGCGGGACTCTGTGAGCAAGAGACTCCATTGTCAAGATAGTTTGGGAAATACTGGACATGATATTACTTTCTTGGAGATGCTCGTTCTATTTCATTACATTCAAGGCTTTGCCAAATTTAGCAATAGAAAAACCTACTTAAAATTTCCCTAATGAATTTGACCATGAATCCTCTTTCTTTTAAGGAACATTTTATGATATCCTATTGCATTGGGTTCCCACGAACACTTCAGAAATTCAGAGGTAGGAAATAGTGGGAAACAGTGTCAGTAAGGAAAAGTGAAAGTGAAGTCGCTCAGTTGTGTCCGACTCTTTGGGACCCTGTGGACTGTAGCCCACCAGGCTCCTCCGTCCATGGGATTCTCCAGGCAAGAATACTGGAGTGGGTCACCATTTCCTTCTCCCCATAGGGGCTCAAAGCAGATATCAGCAAAATAACAGATATCANAGATTGAGGCTGAGGGAGAGAAAATTGCCCAAGGTCATAGTAAGAGACAGTCATGGAACTAGAATTCGAGCCAAGGACTTCTGGCTGCAAAATGATTTGTTTTCACCACTTTTTCTCATTGACCTAAAATAAAAATATGTGAATCAGACTTTGGAAGAATGCATGAGCTAAATGACCAGAGATATGAGTAGGAGAGGAAATAAACAATTTTGAAATCACAGATTTTCAGAGAGCAATTGCATTGATGACTAAATAATGCAGAAGTCATAAGTCTTAGTACCAACCACAATCCTCTTTCAGAGGATTAAAAACACAGCCACCAGAGCATGATTTTATCAAGCAGTGGGTTATGACCTTTGAGGGGGGCCTCAATCTAACAGTCACTCTCCGAATTTTTATTTAGAGCACCATGGTGTTTACGCTACCATGAATCAAACTACAGGTGTGTCTTATGTGTCACAGTTCACTTTCATTTGTTTCTGCAGATCCTGGCCCAGTTCTGTGCCTGAAAGTTAGTGCACTTCCCGCTATGGGAATTTAGGTTGTACATACACCACCCAAAGCTATAATCTTGCCCCTTTGGCTCACTCCCACTTCATGCTTGCTGGTGAAGAGTGAGGCACACTGATCTGTGGTGGTCTTAGAAAAAGAATGCAGAGGGAAGAAAGAAAACCAAACTATTTGGGGCACATAACATATATTGGGCATGTAACATATACTGGGCAGCTTCTCTTGCAGCACTGGGATTAGAACCCAGACCTCTATAACTTTGGGAGACCACGGTCACCATTCCTCCACTGTTCATTCTTTTCCTCACTCTTCTCCATCCAGCCCCTAACAGTGAACATCTGCAAACATCTTCTGTGTATCTGGTGATACTCAAGACACTGAAGATACACACTCAGTAGCAGTAGGGAAGCTCAGTGATCCACGCAAAAGGAAAGCACAACAGATGAATCGCTGTATTAAAGGGAGCCTTATTAAAGTTTTCACCTTGTGGGTAAGTTTATTCGTTGATCAAGATAAGGACTTCATAGCTATGTATATAATATTCAAAGTGGGGTTCTTAATGAAAACATACAGCTCACTGAGTCTGGTGGCTCAGTGGTAAAGAACCTGCCTGCCAATGCAGGAGACCCGGGTTCAGTCCCTGGATTGAGATGATCCCCTGGAGAAGGAAGTGGCAACCCACCCCAGTATTCTTGCCTGGAGAATCCCATGGACAGAGGAGCCTGGCGGGCTACAGTCCATGGGGTCACAAAGAGTCAGACACGACTGAGTGACTAAACAACAGCTCCTTTCTTCAAAAAGTTTCAGGTGGTTATATAAATAGCTCTGACTTTTAAGATAAAAACAAACCAAAAAACCCCAATTGCTATCTTTTACTTGACTTTATCAGAAGATACAAGGTTCAGATTTATTTATTTTCTATCAAATAAGTTGGAGTTTTTGTTTCATTGTTGTTATTTCCCTAGCATTAATTTTAATCAGCTTAGTCTAACAATCAAGTAAATCTGTAACAATCAAGTAACTCCATACTCCATTTTAAAAGGCTGAATCCATTTTAATATTTTATGAAAAATATTATACATTTTGTTTTAAAATTATATATAATGCAAAGTATGTACAGTGAAAAGGAAATGTTTCACTTTATCTCACCCCTCAAATTCTCCACTCTCTTTTCTAAAAGTAATCACTGTTAACAGTTTGATATCTATTCTTTTATAACCTTCATGTACATTGCATGTACATTTAGCTTTACAAATTATAATTTAACTTTTACATAAAAAGGTCACACTGTTTATGTTGTTTTGTAATATGCCCTCTCTACTTAATGATATATCTTGGTGATATTTCTAAGTCAGTACAATTAAACTTATTTATCTGAACTGATGTCATGTAATTCATTCATTGAATAACTGCTTTATTGATGATTAAGTAATTATCTACACTATCATTGCTATAATTCTGTCTTTGTATCTTTATGATATACCTTTGCAATATGTATCTTTAATATAGTATAGTGAAACTTCTAGGCATCCAGCGTCCATTATCTGTTTATTTCTAATAGTGAAATCCCAATGACTAAATGGCTTCTTTTGGAATCTCCCTACCACTCTTGCATGTGATTCAGAGAGGACCTTATCCCAATTAACCAAGTGTGACCCAGACCTGTGCCAGTCAGAATATCCCACACTGAAGACCTGCTGTTTGCTCTGGTGATGGGCACTGGACCCAAGCAAGTCAGTAAGCATCCTGACTTCCACTTAATTTGGAAAGAAGAGAAACATCATTTTCTACTGAATGTAAGTCTGATGTAGTATAGTGTTGAAACTGCTGCAACCTTTCTGCCACTACCATGAGTGAACCTGTCTGGGAATGGAGCCAAAATAAAGGAAGCAGAGAGAGAAGTAAGTCCTGTTGACCGAATGCCAGGTCCTCAAACAAGATGTTTCCTGCTGCCAGCAATGACTAGCCCTGGGACTTTGCAGTCATGTGAGCCAATAAATTTCCTTTTACTGACTAAGCCATTTTAAAGTAGCTTTTCCGTTGATGGCAACCAAAAGATATCTTGGTGGTGCTGAAACCTAGAAGTGTAATTGTCAGGCGACAAAGAGTATATACAGTTGAAATTATGACAGATAATAACAAATTGCCCTTCCATAGATTCTACCAACCAAAATACAAAACCCCAGCTATCAAGAATATCATAATTTTATCTTTTGACAAAATATTTTAAAAAATTTTAAATTATGTTATCTGATAACTCACTGATCATCTTTTTATATGTGTTTTGACCATGTATAATTTTTCTACTGTGATTTAATTGTGCATACATTTTTTCCCACTTTTCTATTAGGTAATTCATATGACTTTTAGGCAGTCTTCACATATCCTTTAAATTAATCCTTTATTACATAAGGTATGCGTATTTTCTTCCAAACTGCCCCTTGTCTTGAAATAATATTTATGGAATTCTCATATGAATGGTTTAAAATTTTACCAGTGTCATGACATCTGCTAGTTATTTTATCTGTAGTTGATTTATTTGTCTAATTTAGATTAGACAAATATTTACTGAAAAATATTAACCTCCTTGAATTTTTACTTTATACTTAATTTTTAAATTTTATTTTACTATTTGATTTTAAAAATATTTGGAATTCATTGCATATTGTAAGGTAATATGTAATTCGTGATTGTGCTAAATATTAATGCTATTTATTAAATAGCTCATTCCTTTCCAGTGATTTGAAGTGTCATTTTATCTTCGTTACACCTTAGTCTGTTGCCTAGCTTTATTCTGCTTCACTGATCTATTTCACTTTCTTTTTTTTTGGCCTCAGGTATACATAAATGCAGTAATTTTGTTCTTTATTTTGTTGTATCCTGTCAACATTGGTTTCTGAATTACCTGATTTCATTTATTTGGTTGGTTTGACAATTTAATAAATACTTGCAAATCCATAACTGGGAGCAAAATCTAGGACCTTAACAATGGACCTATTGGATATATCTCAATTTTTGGCTATCTTCTCCCTATCCCATTTCCTGCTAACCCATTGTTCTCTTACTTCCTTTGTAAATACTGTTGTAAATATTATAAATATTTTATAAGTTCTGTAATTACTTCTAGAATTAAACATTTATTTTGATTTGTTAACTTTAAACAGTGAGATCAGAGATGTCTTTAGCATCCGCAGGGCTTTGGAAAATTATTTTTGTGGGACCTTTGACTAGAAACAATTTTAATCACCCCAAATAAGTGTGCCAGAACCTTTCTAGCTGCCCAGTCTCTTGTGAGGGCTTTCCCGATGGCGTTAGTGGTAAAGAACCCACCTGCCAATGCAGGAGACATAAGAGACCTGATCCCTGGGTCAGGAAGATCACCTGGAGGAGGGCATAGCAACCGACTCCGGTATCTTGCCTGGAAAACCCCATGGATAGAAAAGCCTGGGGGGGGGGGGGGGCTATAGTCCATGGGTTCGCACAGAATACCTTTATGGCCTGTGGCAGCACTCCTTATCAGGTTGCCCTTCTGGAAGCAGGACCCTGCACTGGGCTCTAGGAGAATGCCATAGGCATGAGTCCAGAGTTCTGCAGAGCATTTGGTCAACCCCACCACAGAGCAGAGAGTCAGAGTACCCCGAAGGAGGGAAACAGGGACTGAGGGCCGCAGGGTCTGGTCTGGGGTCAGGGTGCCCACCGGAATGGCACCCAGGACCAAGGCTCATCCTGGCATTGGAGGGGCCTTAAAAAAGCTGAGGAAGTCACTCCAAAGCAGGGAGGTTAGGTTTAGGGTCCAGGGCAAGGGCTTCCTCTTATCCATGTCTGAGGGCAGTAATGACATGTGCAAAGCTTTCTCTTGCATGTATATCCAGGAATAAAGTTAGTCATATAAATATTCAGGATTAGGAGATAATGCCAAATACTTTTACAAGGTGGTAGCACTAATCTTTGTTCTTGCCAGCAATGTCTTCTCTCACTCTACAGCTTTTCTAACACTTGGTGATATTAGAGTTTTTAGTTTTTCAATCAGACATAAAATATATTTCAAGTAATTTTGTTTGGCATTTACCTGAATAATGACATGTTATGTTAAACGTATCTTCTTGTGTTTGCTTTATGTGTTGCCTCATCTGTGAAAATGTCTGTTCATGTTTCTGGGATTCTTAGTGCATTTTATTACTGAAAAAATATATATTTAAAGTTTATATATCCTTTATAAAACATTGATATTGACACTAGTCCTTTGTCTCCTTTGTCAGTGATGTATAATGCAAGTATCCCCATTTATAACTTGTCTTTTCATGTTTTAAGGTGTTTATGAACTATAGTTGTTTATTTTAATGTAGACAAGACTATGATTTTTATTTTATAATCAATAATCTTGCTATTTTGCTTAAAAATATTTCCCCTAAAGTGATTAAAAGATATTTACTTGTAAATTGTACTAAGAGTTTTAAAGTGTATTACATTTACTAATCCATCTAGGCAGGGGTAAAAAAAGCTTTTCTGTTAAGAGCTAGTTAATAAATAATTTGGCTTTGTGAGTCACATGATTCCTGTTGAAACTATTCAGTTCAGATGATGTAAAATGAGAGAAATTACAGGTAATCCATAAATTAATGTGTGTGACTATATTCTAATAAAACTTTATTTATAAAAGCAGGTAGAAGCCTCAACTTGGCCCATGGACCCTTGTTTGCTGGTCATTGATCTAGGGTTTTTGTTTTTATAAATTATATGAAGTAGAGAGCTAATAACTTTTTTAATGTGAATTTGGCAATTCATTCTATTTTCTAGTTGTTCAACATTTCTTTTTTCCCCATTAATCTAAATGCAAATTAAACCATATGCCAGACTTCATATGCCAGTCTGTGTCTGGCCTCTCTTTTATATATGATTAATAAACTTATTCCTGGAACAGTACCACATTTTCTCAATTAACATAGATTTCATAGAAATCCTATTATATTACAGGGAAAGTGTTTCATGCTCTTCACCTGAAAATAGTTGACACAGTTTCTCTGTCAAGTGAAATATTTATCTGCTAGACCAAAATATAGTTTAAAACATACCTTAATCAACTATAGATAAACTTTGATGATCTAGATTTTCTGACATAATTCAATCCTTATTTTGTTTGAAGCAGTTGTTCTCAAGCTTTGCTTAGTGGGAATAAATATTCTAATGTTAAATTCTTAAATTCTATGGAAAATTCTTAAAGAGGTGGGAATACCAGACCATGTGACCTGCCTCCTGAGAAATCTGTGTGCAGGTCAAGAAGCAACAGTTAGAACTGGACCTGGAACAACAGGCTGGTTCCAAATCAGAAAAGGAGTACATTAAGGCTGTATATTGTCACCCTGTTTATTTAACTTACATTCAGAGTACATCATGTGAAATGACGGGCTGGATGAAGCACAAGCTGGAATCAAGATTGCCAGGAGAAATGTCAATAACNTTCCATATAAGATGTTTTATTTGAATAAGTATGCCTACTTGTTGCCACAACCAACCTCCAAATCTTAGTGGCTTAAAATAATAAAGGTTTATCTTTCACTCATATCATAGTCCAGTGTGAGTGAGTGCTGCATGCCAGTTATCCACAGATCCAGAATCTTTTCATATCATGTCACCTCTGTCTTAACAAAAAGTTTCAGTAGGACAGGAGGAGTATGTAGAGAATCATCCAGATGGTTTTACGTGTCAGTCACAGATGTGGAGCACATCACTTCCACTCAGTCCTTATGGACAGAATGTGTTTATGACTTTATATTTACTTCTAAGGCTTAGGACTTTTGGTCTTTCTTTATGCACAGTAGGAAAGTGAAATAAGTTTGGTGAATTTATAGCATTGTCTCTTTCACATATATCTCATTATATGTCTTTGTTTTAGCATTGTATTTCAGTGCATCATGGTGTTTTATGAAATTACGACTTTTAGAAAGCTATTAGCTTAAAATGTTTGAGGAACACAACTGAATGTTGGAAAATTTCTGTGTTTTACTGTAGATTGAATGTTTCCTTGTAGGAAAACTATGGAAAGTGTAAACAGAAAAATACAAAGAAAGAGCTGCTGAACAGCTATGCTGTGAAAATGTGAAAGTGTTAGTTGCCAAGTCGCCCGCCAGGCTTCCCAGTCCATGGAATTCTCAGGCCAGAATACTGGAGTCGGTTGCCATGCCCTTCTCCAGGGGTGTCTTCCCAACTCAGGGATGGAACCCGAGCCTCCTACATTGCAGGTAGGTTTTTTACCATCTGAGCCACCAGGAAAGCCCCACTATGCTGAAGCTATCTATCCTAATCACCAGAATTGTTCAGGATTGTTTAAAAGATGAATATGGGAAAGAAATCTGAATATCTACTGCAATTAGATTGTATAGAGTATTCTCTATTTAGGAAAAGACTAAATTCTAACTCCTCCATTCCTATTTATATTCCATAGGCTAGGTGTTTATTCTATGAAACACTTTAATGTAATTTTTCTGTCTGATCGTCTTTGAAAATATGTGGCAAACCATTATTTGTGAAGTGATATTTTAAAACTTCTACTTCATTCCACCTCCTCTGTTCTCCACGTTAACTTTAATACCTTGGAATTGATCAACTTGAAGCTATGGCAATAAATAATGCCTCTAGCATAATGACCAAAAGTTATTTGTTAGTATCTGATGACTGTGCATGTTGTTGACAAGGTCACTGTTCTGAATCGATTTTCAACCTCAGTAGGCCAGCAGAGGTCTCCAGGAATACTGCAGAAACGGAAAATCGGGAGTTTATTGAAGAGGAGACCAAGGAAACTACACTTCTCTCTGGCTTCCCATCCACAACTTTATGGAAACATTCACATACACTGAATAAACTATAAAAAATTTGAGAACCAATGATTCCAATTTTGATGAAATCTGAGCATTTTCAGAGCAATGGAATAATACAAATTTCTTCTGTTTACTAACAGGAAAATTTTCCATGAAAAACAGATGAAATT